TAAATATACGATAAGCTTATTATTTAAACATAAATTAAGACTACTATATTCTGGGTAATAATCCGCAAAGCCTATTATTGAGCATTATTAAATATTATTTAGTATTTATTACATACTGTTTAATGTAGTTAAAACTTTTATGTTTATCATGTTTATAATAGTAATATAATATATACAAGTACAGTAGTACAGGATTTACATTACGATAAAAGTATGTTGTTGAAATTAATATACATTTTTATTTAGTATTTTAAATTTAACTGTACAGTAAATACAAAAATCGTTTTATAATTTATAAACAATTTAGTAGTATTTAATATAACAATATAATTTCTACGAAATTGTACAGGTATATTTTTAAAATCAACTAATAGTAATAAATTCATATTTTTTCAAACAAATTATTTTTACTGTATTTATAATTATAATCAAATCAAATGTAAATTTATTGTTCAGTTTTGCTATTTTGAGCCAATTTTTCAAACTTTTCTCTCAAACTACTTATACTTCCAGTCGAGGAATGCGACACATTATCAGGTGTTATCTCACGAGACAAAGCACCGGTAGTTACAGCTATTAATTGAATTAAAAATAATAATAATTTACACCTTGTTAATAAGATTTATGCACAAACAATAATACCATCGTGTGAAATAGTATTTAATGATTGATTTAATTGATGGTTTGTATCATCAGAATCGGCGACTATATTAGAGTCAAGTGGTATGGTATGAGTTGAAGCACTGGTAGTTTCAGCTATAAATAAAAATTAAAAACCTATTTATACCATGACATTTAATTTTACGAATACTACCTTCATTTGAATTGTCAGTTTCATGTGACATATCATGTGATGACTGATCCATTAATTGCTGTCCACTTTCACCAGAAACGGTGATATCGTTTGCGTTTACGTGTAATGTATTGTAACTTATGTTGAGTTCATTGGCGTAATAGTCAATGAAATTGTTATAAGAATATTCTCGAAAGTCTATGGGGAGAAATAATCTTGCACTTTACTATCATTCAGTATAATCAACGGATTGATCTCAACGTGTGAATAAAGTCCACTAAACTGTTGGACATTTAACTTTAAGGGTATTTCCAGTGGTGTTGCTTGCTTGCATACTTTGTTAGCCTTATCCATATACGTTTAATATGGAATTATATTTTATTTAAACTAATAATTTCTACAAAAAGTAAATTAAATAGAAATATTAAAATGTATAAATAGTATAATTTAATTCTACTATAAAAAGGTGTTCACTACACATAATGTAAAGCTATATCACATATTTTCAGATTTCAAATCAAATAAGTTATTAATAATAACCATTAAAGTGCTGATAATTTATTTCGCATAATATTCATAGAAACGATATTAATAAAACTTATTTTCAAATTATATTTACTAAATATTTTGTAATAATATTTATTATGTAACTAAATAAAAATTATAGAATACAATTAGTTATTGCGACTAGCAACTTTTATTTACCCATACTATTTAAATCTAACTTTATATAAATCGCTTATAATTTATGTCTATCATATTTGATAATAAATAATCATAACAATATAATACATTGGCATTATATAAATTAATAAAACTGAACTAGGATATTTAAAAGAATTCTATTGATTATAATTGACATGAATTCTGTTATTAGAAATATATCGATATTATTGATTATAACTCCAAACCCAGAATCGACTCTCAATTATCCAAATAATAAAGTCTTTGCCATTTGTGGTAAACCATAGACCAAACAGACTTCCAATATACAGTATAACATATAGTGGGTGATCGACATTACCGGTACCTCACGATATTTAAACATGGGTTGAACCGAGTCCAAAATAAGAGTCCTAATGTGTTTTGTGCAATATTTATAACAATATAAATCAAATTAGTTATTTAACAAGCTAGTTTATTGAAGTGCTACGACTTGATTACTATAGCGATTAAATATATGTAAATAATAGTCTCGAAACCAAACCCAGAATCGACTTTCAATTATCCAAATAACAAAGTCTTTGCCATTAGTTCCAAACCATAGGCCAAACAGTCCGCCCATAAACACCATATAGTCTATGAGAGACATCACCGGTTCCTCCCGATAGACATACATGGGTTGAGTGGAGTCCCAAACGAGTGACTTCTCTGCGAACCAGTGATCGGTATCTAAATTATGCCAAAACTCAGTCCCAATGATTGTATCGCTGTTCAGGAGTCGACTGTAATAATCAATAGTCAGACAGTCTTTCGGACAATATTTCAGACATTTTTGTGTCAATGAATACAATGGAGTCCTATCTTCGAGACGATCTATAGGTTTATTATAGCAGTCATTATGAGTGAAATTTGCCTCAAAGTCTAACTCATCTAGATATCTGTCCATAAAATATATGCTACACTTTTCCTTAGGTCCGCCCCATAAGCGCCTACACCTTCGCATACAATTCATATGTGATATAGCGTCAAACGGATTGCCATTATCAGTGTCCAAGTAATAGCTACAGTTCCCATGGGGTGCCGTTAGGTAGCGCCTCATGATTTTAGTCAATATAAACGTGTGATTAAAACCGACTAAAACTGGTAATGACTGAAACCTGTCGCTCCAATGGGGAACGGGTTGTGAATGAAAGTAAATATAATTTATATGCATATTTCTCCTAGATACATTTCTATTATATAGCAAATATTTCATATTTAAAAATCTATTATCGTCATGGTTAACCACTGTATCGTTAATGACCATGCTAATTAACTGCTCCGGACCCTTGATGTTGTGTAAATGATAAGCGATTCGTAATCGCATTGAATTTAAATCAAAACCATTTACTCCGATAATAAAATGGGCGCCATTTATATGGTTATGAAATATACGGTTATTATGGGTTAGATCCATATTGTGATTATTAGTTAACATGAGTGTTACTGTAGGGTAGTGTTTGTCCATAGAGTTACTATTGATGTCAAATCGTATTAGTGCCTGAAAATTAAAATATGTTATCGATACGTCTAGTAATTGATATCCAAGCATCAAGGTTAATATTGCTGTCATTAGTCTCTATAATCATAAGAAATAATTTATAAATTAAATCATCATAATATTAAGTTAAATTTAATAATTTCGGCAAATAAAATCATGCGCAAAATTGTCGTATTCATTATTTAAAATTTAAATTATAACATTTATAATTTATTTGCCTACTTATTACTAGTAATTGCTAACAATCATTTTTATATATTACCTTGATTATAATTTTTGTTGATTGTGATCGACGAATACATTTTCGAAATATATTTCGAGTCCGACGTCGAAATGTGTCAATAAATAGTAGATTTTGTAAATATCTTTCGCTGAATGCAATGAAATCCTGTATTAAACCAATGAAACTGATTCCGTGCCATAGACTCAATATGTTGGCTATACTTATCAGTAAATCTATAAACCATATTTTTGGTGAATAGTTTACCCTGATGAAAAAGCTATTGTTTAACTCAAATTTAACGTGTTGTAATCTTTTCAATAAAGGATGCAGACCAGTAATATATATAAAATTTTGAAATAGTGATTCGGAAATTTTAAAATCGTACAAATTGTCCAGGCACCCACCAATACATATTCTGGTACAATATTTTGTGATATTATTATTAAAATCATTGGCACTATTAATCGTATAATTTTCACAGAATGTCACATTAGGCTCAATATAATCGTTATATAATTGAATAGTTAGTAAACTATTATATTTAGGTATACATTGATATCTCGTGTAATATGTCATTAAATAGCATTTATTTAAACACTTAAATTGGTTATCGTCTCCTGAATAGTCGTAACATTGCGTGTCATATGGATGGGGCAACCGTCGAAACTCGTAACGATTTATCCTGATCAATATACCATTTGAATGATCGTATAAAAAATCTTTAACTTCAAACTGATTGTCCGTTAATTTTGGGAATGAATTTTGAGGGTGCAGGATAAATATTTTTCTTATAACGTGTATTTTATTGTCCATACCATCACGTAGTAGGTTATGCTCGTGTGTTAGCAAATGGTACATGGTTACAGTTTGATTATAATGATGTTTGTCAAATAGCGATAAAACTGTCTCGCACCTGCCATATGGACTCAATATCGGGGTCGACCAATCTAATATATCATCATAGCCTATTTTCCACTTTACATTATAATTGTAGTTAATCAAATCGTTCAATGTAGAATTAACAACATTGTGCATGTTAAGAGCTAGTAACTCATTAAATTTAACATGATCACTAACAGTAAAATATTGTTGCCAATATAGTGACATAATGTATGTATCATCTTTTTTATAATCGATATCGAGAGATTTTGTATAATAATATTTTACCAAGTTAATAAAATATGAATCGCTAGAATTAATTTTCAGTTCTATTAAAGATAATTTTTTTCGGAATAGATTTGTTTCAAAATATTTTTTAATATTCTTGTCGTATAATAACTGCTCAAAAATGTGTTGATAGCATACGGTAATGGCCGGTAGGTTATGCACCGGTGTGTTATTAATATCGACTCCGTAGTCAACCATTTCTATTGATGTTTGCGTTTTGTACTGCAAATAGCTGTCAGTTAACGCATAGATCTGATGTATAATTACCGGGATTGTTAGCATGATCATTATTTTTCTAATATTAAATTTATCAATTTGTACAATAAACTTTGTAATTAGTAATAGAATATTTTGGAAAGCATGCACAATTTTTGAATGCAAATATAATTGGATTATATTTTTTAGTTTGGTAATTATATATCTTATCAAAGCACTGGTATCTATAAAAGACAATCCAAACCACAGGCCCACCAAACCTCCGATGTTGGACATGTAGTCAACGAATGAGTATTTTGTATCAGAATTGTAGTGAAATTCTTGTGAACTCTTGTATTCAATACGGAATATACTGTCCGTCAGTCCATTGAACGAAGTTTTATCCATTTCTAACGTATAGCAGTCATGTGCATGCGAGCAAAAAGTGAGCAAATGTACACATAATGCAGCATTTACTGTATCGCTCATTGAATTGCCTATTAACAGACCCCTATGTCTTTTATGCCACAAATGACATATGTCATGAC